GCTGGGCTTTCCGCGCCGCCCGCCCGCCGCACCGCAGCCCCATGTCCGCGCTCCCCGCCGGCGCCGACATCAAGCGGGCTCTGGAGAACAGCCCCGAGACCAACATCGAGGATGAGCTGCCCGACGAGCCGCAGCAGCAGCGGCCCAAGTGCTACCTGCTCCTCAGCATCCTCTCCTGCTTCTGTCCCGCCTATCCCGTCAACATCGTCGCCTTCGTGTTCGCCGTCATGGTGAGTAGCACCTCCGGCTTGGGCTCCGAGGGGTCACCGCCGGCCCCGGCGGGGAAAGGGGCATCCAGCCGCCTTTGAATCGCTTGTCCCGGGAGCTTGCGGGCTCTGGGTGAGGCAGCGAGCCTGGGAGCATCAGCAGGAGCGGCCAGGGGGTCCGCCGAGCTATCCCAGCAGCGATGGAGAACGCGGAGTGAGAGGTAGCTTCCAACAAGTTTTCGCTGTCAGGCTATCGGGTGGCAGGTTTATTGCAGTTTTTGGGGTTTGTTACATCAACTGAGTCGCACGCTGAACAGGACACAGTATTTGTGTGAAAGTGTCAGCTGGAGAACAGAAATCAGATTTGGTTTCTGCTTTAGCTAATCAAATGTAATAAGAGGGCACTTTTTCCAGTAAACAAGCTCTTTAATACTATTTATTAGAATAATACAGATAATTATTATGGTTGTAGATTGCTGGTAATTGCCCGTGTAAATTGAGTATCAAACACACTGAGAGAACAGCCTTACTCCTACAATCTGTAATTGATACACATTGTCCTTAATAACCCAGCAATCCCCTTAACTTCCAAAGTACTGTTGGAACAGAATCTCCTTCTCTGAGTTAAAAGTTGCAGAGTCAGATCCAGAGTTTTCTAATCATATACATGATCAGTGTTATCAGTAACACTGCAATGCATTTCTGTTGTTTAGGAGCTGAAAAAGGTTTAAAACATGTTGTGCATTTTCATCCTTTTCTCTGACAGCCAAGCTGAGAAGGTAAGTAAAATTGTAGTTATTTCTTTTTGCAATTAAGAATAAGAATAGGTAACTATGTCTCAAATATCCCCAAACACACTCTTGTAAAGTGAGATGAGTAAAGACTGATAAGAAATCACATTTCTGAAGTTTGAAAACTACTATTCCAAAGCCATTGTTCAAGTCTCCTTTTTTTTTGAAGTTCAGTATTTGCTGCCTTCTTTTTTTTTCTTTTTTCTTTTAATTTTTTTTCCCTTCTGTGTTATTTTCTTTCTTGTTACCTTAAGTATACAATATGCTCTTTTCCTTATTTTGGGAAGGTTTGTTTCAGCTGGTACTCGGCATCCTTTCTGTCCATGGACACTGAGGGTGCTATATAAAGTAATGAGAGCTGATGATCTGGGGCTGGGAGCGTCTGTTCACTGTGACACTGCTTTCATCAAGGTGCTGGGGCTGTACAGAAGTTAACTGTCAAGGACAGAATTTGGCCTCTAAAGATTTTTGCAGCCCATATGGAGAAATCTCCACCCACAGCCTGGTTGAAGTTCATGCAGGCTTCTGGAGTCAGGCATCAGTAACTGTTACCAGGGGATATGAAGGAACCAGGGTGGGAAGAGCACTTCCTGAATGCTGAGCAGCCTGTGCAGGTCTCAGCTGCCCACTCCCTTGCAGGGGGAAACAACAGCCAGACCAATAACCACCCCTGGCCGGGAATAACTTCTGTTTCAACAGCATCCTACCTAAAACTTCTCCTTTTCTATAAAAATAACCCATCCAACTTCTTTTCCACAGCCTGACCCCCTGCCTTTCCAAGCTGCAACCTGTAACTGCTGCATTATCCTCAGCTGCAGATTTATGCATTTTAGCCTGTGCTGGTTTTATTTCCACTTCTGCTGGCATCTGCAACCTCCCTCCCTTTCTCAGCTGGAGTTGCTAAGGGCTAACACTGAATTATAAGAGTAGTCTAATTCTTTTTCTTACAGAAGATACCTTTACAGTCTGCAGAGCTTGCCTGAGATCTTGGGTCAGATTTAAAGACCCCTACAAGTGGTTTATCTACAAATTTCCACTTCTTAAAATGGGCCCAAAAGGAAAAGTCCTATTGGCTTTTAGAGGGGGCATGGTTCAGCACCCTGTGTACCTGTGTCATGTCCTCCTTAACTGTTCTAAATTCAGACAATGTTTTCACTCTAAAAGTAGAGTCTGGGCTCTAACACACCCCCAAAATAAATGACAGATTTGTCTTCAGTCTCTTCTGTCTCTTCTGCTGCCCCATTTACAACTCCAGCACTGGTTTCCTCACTTCTTTCTCACCTTTGGAGGCTCAGACCTCACCGTTGCAGATCTTACCTCCTTTACTTTATTTTTAGAATAAACTTTTTGCAAGTTCTCCTTATTACAATAACAACCTTTCCCTGTTTCTTACCTGTCTGTTCCTCATGGCAGGGGTCAGAGCTGGTGGAAAGGACATTAATGGCATCAGTGTGTTGCCACATTGGCATTACAAGAGCCCCCTCCAAAGAGCCATTGGCCACTCTCAGGGGTGAGCATTGCTCGGCATTTTTGGCAAATGGAGTTCTGTTTTCCCCAGGACCCCTGGCTGTAGGATCACTGTTCTCAGTACCCTTCTGCAGCCCCAGCCAGATGCCATCAGTTCTGCTCCTTGTTGCTTGCAGCAGCTGGATCTCTGTGAGCAGCTGTGTCATGTTGCTGTGCCATCAGTGGCTCACTCAGCCCCAGGGACGCCTCCCTCAGATTTGCCCTATTCTTTCTCATACAGGTGTAGCCACAAGCATCAGGGGCACGAGTTTGGGGGCAGGTACCAGGTCAGGAGGCTTCTGTGGCACAGGAGGTTTCTGTGATGTGGGGCTGCGGGTGGGCACAGTGTCACTGAGCTCTTTGGCTCCTTGTCTGCAGTGGTGAACCCAAAGAGCTCTCAGTGAGCTGCCAGCTGTGTCTGAGACCTGGCTGGAGTGGTCTGGCTGTGTCTGGTTCGTGGGACCAGAGCTAGAGGGAGGCTGTGGAATAACTCTGGGAAAT